GGATGCTGATGATGCAGAAATGATACCGGAACAACCAACCAATCATGGTGCAGTATGCGATATCGATAGAGGGAATATTATTGAACGACGTCTGCGCGATCGAAGCAACATTGTACCAGCAGAGCGGTTAACGTATTTCGCATCAACAGATCGTGTTGTCATGTTGGCAATTGACGAAGAACCAAGAACGTACGAACAAGCCATTCATTTGAGCGATCACATACAGTGGGAGCAGGCAATGAACGAGGAGTACGATTCGCTCATAAAAATTCGCACATGGAATTTGGTCAATCAACCGAAGGACAAAAAGGTGTTCGTGTGCAATGAGGAAAAAGCAGAAAACAAAAATGCAATTTTGTCGGTAATTGAACACTTGCGAAGAAAATTCGATGTCGAAGTGTTCGAAGTGAGATCATTTTTGGGTTTTGAAATTGAACAGCGAATGGACGATTCAATTCACGTAAATCAACAGGCGTATGCACAAAAGGTACTTAATCGTTTCGGCATGACAAACTGTAATGCTGTGGCGACACCATCGGACAGTGCACAAAATCTTGGAGATTTTTATGCAGACGAAGAAACGAATTTTCCGTATTGTGAGGCAGTTGGTAGTTTGATATACATAGGAGTGGTCACACGACCAGACATCAGTTTTGCTGTTGGTAATCCAAGCCGACATCTTGAAAAATCGGCAGTGGCGCACGTGAATGCGGTAAAACGCATCTTAAAATACATCAAAGGAACAATACATATGGGCATTCGATTTGAAAGTGGCACCAATTTGAATCTGTGTGATTACAGCGACGCAGATTATGCGGGAGACATCAAAACCAGGCGATCTACATCTGAGTATGTTTTTATGCTTGGTAACAGTATTATTAGTTGGGGTTCGGAGCGTCAAAAATCAGTGGCGCTGTCAACAACTGAGTCCGAGTATATGGCGGCGGCGTATGCGATAAAGGAATTGATATGGTTGTATCTATTGTTATACGAATTATTGCCGGTCGTTTTGGACAAACCGATTTTTCTTATGGATAATCAAAGCGCAATTCGACTTATTAAGAATGCGGAATTCCATAAGAGAACAAAACATATCGATGTACGATATTATTACATTCGAGAGGAGTACTAACGATTATGGAACTTTCGATTTGAAATATGTGGCAACGGACGAACAGGCAGCCAACATAATGACGAAGGCTTTACCGAAGAATAAGCATCAATATTTTCGTACATTGATAGGCCTTATGCCAAAAGAATGATTTTTATTGGCTTAGGTTTAGCAACTTGTAACTAAAAGTGGGAGTGTTGAGATTTTTTTTAGTTTAGTTCAAGTGTGCGTGTGCTAGTCAGTTAGAATAAATGTCATGTCAATTTACAATTTTTCAATTACAAAATTAATTTTACACATCGGTATTCGTTAATTCACCTCTGAAGCGTTACACCCGCGTGGTGGAAATTTCCGAGAGCGAATTTTCCAGACGTGAATCTTCCGGGGGCGAATATTTCTGGGGCGAGTCTTCTGCACGAGTTTTCCGGAGAGAATTTACCGGATACTCCTGTATTTATAAAAGAAATGTTACCCGTTGGGCACTTTCTAAGTCTCCCCCTCTACAATGTTCCAAAATTTTAAGCATAGTTTTTATTGGACATTCTTTCAATTTTTTATTTTTTATTTCAATATTCTATGTCTCACAAACTTTTCGACAGTAGCATATTGTGAAAAAACAAAATTATAGTCCCCCCTCTCACATCAGTAACTTAACGCAGCGATATAACAAATTCCATCACATAAATTGGAACAATAAAAAAACTTCGGCTATTAGATGTCCTTTCAGCTACTTATGTCGATAACTGTAAGTATAGTGCCATGCCAGTTGAGGGAATAGTTTCCATAAGCACTTCAAGTCCGACAATAATCGAAAGTAATAGAAACATGTGGCCAGCGAACCCCTTACTTTTATTAATATCAATAGAAACCACCCACCGGTAGTTTACGATAAAAGATCCGCATTAATCGGAGCTTTATAATAATAACCGAGTGCATTTATAGTCCGGTTTAGTACGAAGGAAGTAGAATTGGACTGCTGCGTTCGTAGAGATCATATCTAAAATCGACCCTTGGGGCATTTTCGGTAATATTTACTGCAACGACGGCCTTTATATCAGATCGGTACGGAACGTACTCATTATTATCGTGCGATTTTTACAAATTTCTGTATTTACGCGAGTTTAATTATATATCGAAGTCGGTTTTTAATAACAATTTGCTTCTGGTGCAAATTATATTATACTTAAGAGAGTATGGCGGATACATTATCTTGTTACCCTTGATAAGTTATTGGTCGCCTTAAACGTTAAATAATGATCGCTATTTCTCCATCCGTACTTCTTTTGAATACGAAATTATGCATCGGCTTACCTTACGTGTACGGCTAGACTAATTCACGTTGTTAATATTTAATTGCGGAGTACTTGCATAGTTTATTCCGACTTGCGAGAACGTTTCTAACGGTATATGCAAAATGCAAATTTTCGAAATGATTTGATTTGTTGAATTCGCAAAGTAAGAGATAATTGAGAAACAAAATCCGAAATCTGGCGTTGCAGCTTTTGACTGATCCTTTGCGAAAATTACCCCCGATCAAGATACCTAAATTTCATTAAATCATTCAGATTTAAGGTAGGTAATTCTGCAAGTGCGCATGCCTAAACTTACATAAGTACCAAATCGTATCCTAAACTCCAAAGTAATAGAATTCTATAAAAGGAACAACACCGGTCCCGAAATACCACACGATTTACCTGTGGTAATTTCCCTGTAAAGTTTCAACCATAAATGGACTAAATTAACGGGTAGCCAAATAAGAATTGCAAGCGGTAATTTTTTGTATATAAAATTAACCAATGGAAAACTGCTGAAATATATTGGAATTTACAAATTGGGCAAGTATTCTTCATTCTAGAACGTGTTCTACTTCCTAAAATTAAAAATAAACAAAGTTAATGACGGGGTGTGTTAATAATTTATGTAAGGCTGTCAATGTAATTGTAGAATTCATTAGAAATTAGTAGGTGGATATGTTTTTGTCTGAAAAGTCAATTATCCCATACTTTGGCAAAAGATTCAAGAGAACCGTGATCGATTATTATTTTCGGATTTTATACCATTTTAGGTGCTGATCTAGTGGGACAGATTGAACCCTTTAATGTGTGTTGTAAAATTGATGGATCCGTGAAGATCTCGAAGACCGTTCGGTATTCAGTTGTATCATATGTTTGTGCTTATAAATTCTACACGCTAAGAATAGGTTGTACATCCGCAGTGCTAACTTTCTTATTTGTGGAAGGATTTTTTTGGTTAAATTGATGAAAACGAATTTGGTTGGAGTAACTAATTTTATCTAACAGAGACTGTTAATGTGGAAAGGCGCTTTTTCTACATCGTTTACGATTACTTTTTGAACTTGATACATTGATATCGATATACATCAAGTAAGGCGTGAAAAGTAAACACATTGAAAGTGTCAAAAATTTTTAGTAACATTATCTCCAGAATGGCCGAAGAATTTGCAATCGGTGTGGATTTAGGTACGACTCATTGCTGCGTTGGAGTGTTTGATCCCGAAAAGAACACCGTGGATATAATTGAGAATCAGTACGGAGAGCGAACTACACCGTCCTACGTCGCGTTTACAGATGAAAAAGAAATAATTGGGAAAAACGCAAAGGACAGGGTTGCGCGAAGCCCCGCAAATGTCGTATATGGTAAGCGTTCGATTGACGAACACCACCTAATCCGCCCCGTTTGCAGACAGCAAGAGATTAATTGGAAGGATGTTCAAAGACGAGTACTTGCAGCATAACTTGTCGTCGTGGTGCTTTCGTTTGATAGAAAGCGAGGAAAATACGCCCTTGATACAGGTCACCAAAAACAACATGGCGGTGACTTACAAGCCTCATAAGATAAGTGCGAAGCTTTTGGGTTATATGAAAAAGATCGCCGAGCAGAAGAAAGGGCGGAAGATTAACAACGCGATTATAACGGTTCCGGCCTATTTCAACTACAATCAGCGGATTGCAACCAGAAAGGCCGCAAAACTGGCAAAGCTGCACGTTTTGAAAATCATGAGTGAACCAACGGCGGCCGCCTTAGCATACGTTCACAAAAATCAGATCACGGACTGTGGGAACATTTTGGTTTTCGATTTGGGTGGGGGAACTTTCGACGTGTCTGTGATTAGCATCAAGGGCAAGGATATAACGGTGAAGGCGACATCGGGCAATACGTTTTTGGGCGGGCGCGACTTTGACAACAATTTGGCCCAGTTCATCGTTGAAAAACTAAAGGATATGTACGGGGTGGATGTAACGAAGACCGAAACCGCGATGTGGAGAGTAAATTGTCGAGCTGAAAAGATTAAGCTCGCGCTATCGTTTGAGAGGAGCGTTACTTTGGATTTGCCGAACATTTTAAATGATGGAAGGGAGGTTGACCTGGTGATCACCAGGGAGGAGTTCGAAACTATTAACGCGCATCTTTTCCGGCTATGCCTCACGACCGTTGAGAACTGCCTGGCGCAGGGGGAGGTGAACAGGGAGGACGTTGAAAGAGTTCTTCTAATTGGAGGCTCCACTCGAATACCTTACTTGCGCGATATGTTGGCGGAATACTTTAACGATAGTGATAAACTCGCACAAGGTATAAATCCAGACGAGGCGGTAGCCTACGGTGCGGCGATAGAGGCTGCAACTTTCAAAAGGGATAAAAAGACGTCTGGGCAAAGGATTAACGAGGTCACCCCGCTTTCCCTTGGCATAGACGTCATGGGAAATTTGATGAGTGTGGTAATTGCACGTAACACCCCCATTCCTGTGTCTGTAACTAAAACGTATGTTACAGTCAGTGATCAACAGAAGGAGATGGCTCTCAACGTCTATGAAGGTGAGAGATCATTAGTGAAATACAACACTAAGATAGGAACGTGTGTCATCACCTTGCCCTTACGGCCCCCGGGTTACCCAGTGGATGTAACCTTTAGTATTGACGCAAATGGAATTTTCGATGTCGGATGTAACACCGAAACTGGACTGTATTCCAAATTATCAATAGATTACGAAAAGTGTGTATCACTAAAATCCGACGACATGCTCCAAGACGCCATAAACAATGAGGCGAAAGATGAAAGAGAGAATCAGGTAATTTTATCGTGGATTAGACTGAGGGAGTATTGCATTCATGTCAAGACTCTTTTGACTTATAAATGGGAGGATTTTAAGGACGTGGACAAAGAGTGGTTAGAAGCAACAATTGAGGAAACTGCTCGGTGGGTGCGCAAAAATAAAGTACGTGAGGGTAGCGAGATGGAAGAAAGTGCCATCTTAAACAAATTGGAAGAAGTCCAATCGATTTGTAAGCCTATTTTAGAACAAGTGGGTTACAATGCTTCTGACCTTTCCATACCTGAATTATATAAGCTTTACCAAGATCAACCCTTGCATGTCCATTTAGAGTAAATGTTTCAAATCGCAATAAAGTTGTCTTTACATTAACTTTTATCTATTCTTACACATAACATTTTTAAGCCTGTCAGTTCTGTTTTCTTGTGAACCTTCTATACTGGTATTTTTCCGATTCTTCCACACTTTATGGATATTCAATGCTTGAGATCCCCCAGGTCCATCAAATCCTAGATCAAATCCCTTAAATTCTCGAATTTTTCCCTTTTTTCCAATCATTCTGATTCTTCAATTCTTCAGATCTATCAGAGTCTTAAGGTTCCTCCGATGATTCGAACCCTTGCGATTATTCGGTTTCCTTAAATTGTTTAAATATATCAGATTTCTGAGAACATTTGTATCTGTTTCATAAATTCTTAGGATCTTTCATATCTTTGAGTCTTGTGCCAAACTCCTGACATTCGGTTTTTAAGGTGCTTCAAATACGTTAAACGCTTCGGATTCTTCAGTTTTGTCACTTTTCTGATTATTCAGATTCTATCAGGATAATGGAACGCCAACCCTTGGCCGCCTGTGGTTCTTCTTAAAATCCCAAAGTTCCTTGGTTATTTTGTGTTGGTGAATTCTTTTTTTTTTGTTTCTCTGGGTTATCATATGCTTTGAATTGTTCTAAGTTTGATTCTTCCGATTTGATGTGTCTGTTTCTTGACATTCTAGAAGCTTTCAAATTCTTCCCTTTTTAATATTGTTGTTTTTCCCCCGTTTCAAATTCTTTCGATCCACAGATTTTCTTTTATTAGGTTCGTAGGTTTCAGTGCATTTCCAAATCAGCAAAAAGTACAATGTTCAATAGTTTTTGGTTCTGATGCGAACCCCAAAGGTCCGATCTAATATGTTGTGTTAGTTCCGTGTAGCCAAATGTGGACTACCCCAGCGAATAAAAACTGTAAGAGGACGAAAATAGATAAACTATGTACAACCGAAATATATTTGGTACCTGAGATTATTTTACATTTGATAAAATTGGCTACTGGAAATAATTATTTATTAATCATCGATAAAATTTATTGAGTTATCAATCTATAGAAATCAGATATGCACATCTCGGCAATGGGAAATCCGTATTTGGCTAAAATTGGTTCGCATATTTTTTCAATCTCTGTCTTTTTCTCTATAATTGCGTTCTTCTCGTCTTCGCTGCCAACAGCAACCTTATTGTTTGAAACCCATTCGGAAATTATGTTGGTGATGTTCGCCATGACGGTCTTATCTTCGGCACTAAGCAGCTCCGACTTATACGTGCACAACGACTTGGTTTTGATGCAATACTCCTTTAATTTAACCCACAACGAAACGACTTCGCTTTCCTTGTCATCCCTTTCCTTATTTTCGAGCGCCACGCGTAACGCGTCGTCTGCCTGTTGGTCGGTGTATTTCTCGTACTTCATTACCAGATTGGAGTACACGCCAGCGTCGGTTAGGGCGCCGACTCTCAGAATACCATTCTCATCAATATGGAAGGATACTTCAACTGCGTATCCGGGTGGCTTTGGTGGCAGTGCAATTGCGCACGTTCCAATTTTGGTGTTATACTTAACCAATGATCTTTCGCCCTCATAGACATTCACGTCCATTTCCTTCTGTTTGTCACTAATCGTCATATAGTTCTTTGTCTTGGTAACTGGAATCGGTGTATTACGAGCTATAATAACGCTCATTCGATCTCCAATGGTATCCGTGCCAAGCGAAAGAGGTGTTACCTCCATAATTGAATGAACCGGTCCGCCGGCGTCTTCGCCTTTTTTAATCATGTATGCCTGCACTGCGGCCCCATACGCGACAGCTTCGTCCGGATTTACACCCTGGGTCAGCTTATCATCTCCCCCAAAGTACTCGGATAACATTTGGCGAATTTTTGGAATCCTTGTAGACCCACCGATAAGCAGAACTTTTTCAATGTCATTTTTGCACAGCTTGGCGTCGTTCAGGCAATTATGAACGGTCTGGATGCACATTGAAAATAACCGATCGTTGGCCGCTTCGAACTCTTTCCTAGTAATTTCAAAGTTGATATCCTCACCGTCGAGAAGAATGTTATGTAGGTCCAGGTGCGTTTTGATTTCGAACGAAAGTTCAGTTTTAACCTTTTCGCTTCGCGCGTTCACTCTACGAAGCGACGACGGTATCTCCCTAACATCCCTGTCGTATTTCTCCTTGATACGCTTAATGATGAGGTTGGCTAAATTGTTGTCGAAATCTCTACCCCCAAGAAAAGTGTTGCCCGAAATCGCCTTGACCGTGATATCGCGATTGCAGACTTTTACAATTGATACGTCAAAGGTACCTCCGCCCAAGTCGAATACCAGAAGATTTTTGCATTCGGTCACGTTGTTTTTATAGATGTATGCCAAAGCTGCCGCTGTGGGTTCGTTGATGATTTTGAGCACGTTTAGACCGGCTAATTTTCCAGCTTCCGCCGTCGCAATTCTTTGATGATAGTTAAAGTAAGCTGGTACTGTTATTACGACATCGCTTATGGATCGGTTCAGTCGTTTTTCTGCAATGCGCTTCATGTAGCTTAACAGTTTTCCGCTGATCTCTTGAGGTTTGTATGTCACAATCTCGTCCTCCTTAAATATCTGAATTAAAGGCGTGTTATCCTTATCGGATACAACGCTGAAGGACCACTTTTTGATGTTCTGTTGCAGGTATTCGTCATCAAATTTTCTTCCAATGAACCTTTTTGAATCTAAAAGTAGTGTTTAGTAGATAACGAATTGGTAGTGCTGGCGTTACCGTAAACGACGTTTTTGTAATTGCGATATACACGATCCTTGGCCAGTTTTCCTATGACCTCATCTGCTTCGGTGAATGCCACGTAAGAAGGTGTGGTCCGATCTCCTTGTTGATTTTCGATGATGTCAACATCGTGACTGTTCGGTGCCAGATATCCGACGCAACACGACGTCGTTCCCAAATCGATGCCCAAAGCTGGAGAGTCCGCCGACATTTGAATTTTGGAGATATTTACTCGAAATTACAAATTTTTACGGAAAATTTTAACTGCCTGACGTTTGAACATTGTTTCCTGTTCTACAGAGCAGTTGATTTCTGAAGCAATTTCATTTACGTCAAAATCTTTCAGTTGGACATTATGCATAGGAAAGGTGATGCATTGTATTAACGATGCAAAACGTAATTACGATGATTGCAGATGAGTGTCTCTCCAGCAATTGGCATTGATCTTGGTACTACTCGCTGCTGTGTCGGTTATTTGGCTAACAACAAATACGATGTTGATATTATAGAAAATCAACATGGAGATCGAACGACACCATCGTATGTCGCATTCACAGACAATGGCGAGGTTGTAGGGAAGCAGGCAAAGGACAAAGTATATCGCAACCCAGAAAATGTAGTCTATGGTAAACAGCGTTAGCAAAACTACACGAAGAATCAGCTGATTTGTGTTTCAGATTCAAAACGGTTAATTGGAAGGCTCTTTGACGACCCATACATCCAGCAAAACCTCAAGGCGTGGACCTTCAACATCAATGCCGGACCAGACAGTAAACCTCTCATACAAGTTATCCAGGGCGATTCCATTGTGAGCTACTCACCACACCAAATCAGCGCCAAATTGCTGGCACATATGAAGAGCGTTGTGGAGAATAGAATAGGAGAAAAAATAACGCGAGCCGTCGTCACAGTCCCCGCATATTTCAACTACCACCAGAGGATTGCAACGAGGGAAGCCGGCAAATTGGCGGGACTCGAAACGTGTATAATCATGAACGAACCGACTGCCGCAGTTTTAGCGTACGTCCACAAGCACCACGTAAACGACTGCAAAAATGTGCTCGTCTTTGATCTTGGAGGTGGGACCTTCGATGTGTCAATTGTCAGCATAAACGGCAAGGACATAACTGTTAAGGCTACATCTGGCAACACCTTTCTAGGGGGGCGAGATTTCGACAACAATTTGGCAGAGTACATTATGAAAAAATTAAACGAACTAAATCAAGTGGACGTATCACAAATTTCGACATCAGTTCGACGAATCAATGCTCGTTGCGAAAATATTAAAACTGAATTATCGTTTGAAGAATCCACACAGCTTGACCTGCACAACATTTTAATGAATGGAACAGAGGTTGATCTTGAAATAACTCGCTCCGAGTTTGAGGCGATTAACGACCACCTCTTCAAACTTTGTATCCAAACGGTCGAGAACTGTCTCCGCCAAGCCAGCCTTTTCAAAGCAGATGTAGAAAAAATTCTTTTAGTAGGTGGATCTACTAGGATCCCAAAATTAAGGAGCATGCTATCCGCTTACTTTGGTGACCAAGACAAGTTGTGCCACGGCATAAACCCAGACGAAGCCGTCGCTTACGGTGCCGCTATTCTAGCAGCGGGTGGTGAGATCCAGTCCGTTCACAATATCAAGGAGATTACTCCCCTTTCTCTTGGCATCGACGTCGTTGGTAACAGGATGAGTTTCATAATACATCGTAACACTCCAATCCCCGTAACCAAAACCAGATCGTATATCACCGTTAGCGACGAGCAAACGGAAATGGAAATTAACGTATACGAAGGTGAAAGGTCACTAGTGCAGTACAATACAAAAATTGGCACTTGCATTATAGAGTTACCACCGAAACCCCCAGGTTACCAGGTGGAAGTGACGTTCCATATTGACGTTAATGGTATCTTAGAGGTCGGTGCCTCCACAGATGGCGGTGTTTATACTAACCTGTCAATGGAGTACGAGAAAGTCGCCGAGCAAAAATCCAGCGACATGCTGAAAGACGCGTTGGAAAATAAACAGAGCGACGAAAGAAAGAGGGACGTAATATCTTGCCTAATAAAACTGAAAGAGTACTGCATTAAAATGAAGGCGCTGTGCACGTACAAGCCTCACATGTTTACCGACGAAGAGAAGCATGCAATAATTGGGGCATCTGAAGCTGTTACGGCATGGGTCAACGACACTGTCATCGAAGATGGTACCGATGAGGAGAAAAATGCTATTGTTTACAAGAAGATGGAAATTGAGGGAGTGTGCGAACCTATTCTTCAAAATTATGGGTTTAACGTTGGTGACATGGGCATATCAAAATTTCATAAATTTTTAATTGACCACGATGCGATATTCTTGTAGAAATTTTGTGAAGAAAATTTAATTACTATTTGCTGTTTTAATATTCATTTAACCTTGTGTAATACAACGCAATCGCGTAAAAATAACCACGTTTTCCTCACACGTATCGAGAGCAAGTAGCTATAGTTTTACGTACTACTCTTAAGCTCTTAAAAAATTATCTCTGTGTAATGACATCCAAATGACCATGCTAAATCTGTCATAATGACACCGTTCTAGATTATAGTTAGTATTGTATATTAAAAAAATTTGGTGGAGCGAGCACAGATACCACCAATACACCTGCGCATGTGAGATTCTCCTTTTTATATCTAAGAATATGTGTACCAAATTTGGTTCCAATCGGTTCAACCGTTTAGCCGGAGATTAGAGTCTGACACACTTGTGCATGCGCGATTCTGCCCAAAAGTTTTCAGCTCTTCCTGTTATGTCTAAGAATATTTGAACCAAATTTGATTTTAATCGGCCCACAGACCGATATACCAATCGATATCATTGAGATTTTGTTTGATTCGGATTCCTGGAACTTCAAAACGTGAATTTCCGTAAAAAAAAAAGGGGGGGGGTCATTTTTTGCCCAATGAAGGATCCGTCAAGGGATTTAAATCTTCTATCCTTTGGCGCATTGATTCAAAAGTTCAAACAATGCTGTGATCAAAAAGTGAAACAGATATGGCAACATACCCTAAACGCGTGCGTTTGTCAAAGTCTTCAACGAATGATACGAACCAAAGACACCTTTTGCATTTACAGAAAGCAATCTAAGATTTTTTATTTCAGTGCCAGTTGATAGTTTCATACGCAATTTTTAAAGCTCGGCGTTTTTCGCATGCTCGGGGGTGCTTTAAGCGATTCTGATGTAGGTATGTACTTTAAAAAACTCTTAAACGAATGCTTAAACGCTCTAAAATCCTTTAGAAAGTTCTTCGAGGCTCTTGCTAACTTTTTTAAAACATTATAAAAATCTTGGCCCACAATTTTTTTAATTAAACATATTTTAAGTTGTTAAATTATAAACATGTGTCTCCACTCTTTGTATCTCAAAAATTCTCAGATTTTGGAGGTTTCCTAGGTTCTGAAATTCCAAATAACACATATTTAGTTTGTTCTATTTATTGTATCACTTTATCTCTCTGCATGTCCGCCCGTCCATCTAAGCCAAGAACAGTCAATTTTCATTTAGATGGAAAACTGTCCAAACCTGTGCCTGGACGCCTCAGAATGTGTTACAAGTCGTTATTTACGTAACTCATAATTTCAGAATCTACCTTTTTATAAAGAAATTCAAAAACGCAAGTAAAAATGCAACAATTATCACTGATTTAGAAACATCATACTGTGATTGCTAAAGACGATCGTACATTTTCTGAACTCATTAAGATTGTGATTCTGTTTTTATTCTCTTTCCCAATGAAATATGTTTCGCGTATTAATTGCGCCGTTGCGAATCCACGCTAGACAGTATAAGAAGCAAAAGGACCGGTATATGAGTTTCATGACAAGTTACGACCTTATATTAAAGAAGTTGGTGTGAAGGTGCGGTCAGGGTGGAGTGGTAACCCACATGTTGTTATCGAACCCCCGCTGATTCAAAATGATCTCGATGGAAAAGTCATAAAGTCACCGTGAACTACCGGCTGTTGTGAATATTAGGTATACCCGGTTAGTTCTGCTACCTACGATTCCCTTTCTTGTAATATATTACCTTCTACCCGACCATTTATTTCATCGTAAATCCACCTTGATACATTGTTTTAGATATATTGCGGTGTGTGTTCCCGATAAACACATATTGTGCATGTTAGTGTAGGAATTATGGCATAAAAATAATTCGACAACAAATGTTACTTGATAATCCATAAACAATAACGACCCAATGACAAATTTTTCACTAAACGGTCTCTATTTATCGGTTTCTGGTTATGCTGGATCTACGTATTCTTGACTTAAGGCAGATTTTTACAATACGCTAGGAATGTCAACTTTACTTATTCTATTATCAATTATCAGCGAATTGACCATTCTACGTATTGGTTTAACTGAAATACTGAAAAAATGAAACAATTTGCCAATGAACAACAACTTCAAAGCGTGTACATAACAAAATTGTATCTGTAGTGGTAGTGACGAATTTGGGGTCCGTGTAGTTAGCAGGACATTGGCGGCACAAATTTCAAGACTAGGTGGATTGGTTAGTGCTACGTTGGTGCCGGTTTGTGCCGTAAAAATTCGCCAGCAAAACATACAGTTTCGGTTGCAATACTGCCATCTTCTTCAGCGTTAAATCGCGTCTTTTTTGCATTAAACTCCTTCCTTATTGTGTAATCAGATACAGGAAGAGAAAAATGATTTGAAGACAATGGTATTATCTTTGTATTTATAAACCAATGGTATTATTATAAAACGTAATGTTTTGGCGAAAGGTGCATGTATACTTAAAATTATTTATTTCATTGTGCCATAATATATGACACTTACGTTAACACCACTCTCGGTTTATGAGAAGTCTAATCGAAAAAGTACGAATTGTTTTGGATTCTACGCCCCAAAAATAATAAGAAACAGTGTTTTCCCGAGAAATTTTGGTGCAGTCGACTTTTGGTAAAAAAGGAAGGTTATACACTACCTTTTTTTGAGCCCCGAAAAAAAAATTCCCTCAGATCGACCGGGGAAAAAAAATTTCTTATAGAATGTGTCCTGTAGAATCCATAATTTTAAACAGTTCGAAGATTGAGGTACTAGTTCAAAAGTTACAGCCCTTTGAATTTTCTTTCGAAATTGGTTTCTAGTCTATAACTTTAGTTCCATTATTCAAAATATGATTTGCATTTTATCGTCGTGTAGTTGGCAAGTAAAAAATTTAAATTATTTTCATATTCAGTTCAGATCGATGTGTTTTTCTTTTCGAATCACGTCTCCATAAAGGACGAAAAGAAAAGGAATGGTGTTAAAATGAAGATTAATTTGATTTAAATTACCGTGAGGCGATGGAAGTTTGAATATAAACTTTTTCCTATGGCAACTTTTAAAAAGCGAGTGAATTTATTCGAAATGGCTTCGCAACCGTTGTTTTCGCAATGAAAATTAAACCTGCCGCCGCCATAATCCACTAATGACGAAATTCGTATTATTGTAGGAAGCTCGACATTTTTTCGCAATTGAACGAAAATGCGAGCCAATTAAAACCAATTGTACAACTCTCAGCGACTCAATCGAGTTCGGTTTGCACGTACTCACGATCTTAACGGTCGAGTAAACATACTCCGGACCACACAAACCTAAGTAAACACCAGGTAATTAAATTCCAGTTTAATCTTCCATCAGCATTATCGGAAATAAACTCAATTTTCTATTCATTTAACTAAACGTAGCGTTTGAAAATATTTTCTTTGTTCGTTAAAGCTTTGCCAAAGGTTAATACGGAATTCTCTTTGAAGACGACAACGCTTGCCCAAAGGCGTCTTTAGTGTATCCGGAATACATCTTGTATCTAAAAATACAGCGAGAAAAGCACAATTCCCAACGTATTAAATTCGTTGTATGAAATCAAGCGCCTCGAGCTTTTGTGACCTGAAAACATTTGTAGGTGGACAAACAATATTCCCTCCCATTTCGTTTATATGTTAATTGATGCGACAAATTACACAATTTGGTTTGAAAAACTGAAGCACTTTATTTACATTCGTTGTAGCAAAGAGATCGTGATATTCTGTGGGTGTACTGTTCTATGTAAATAACGCGGTTGATGTATTAGCAATTAAGCTCGCTTGGCATTAATTGGATTTGCATCTCACTATCCCGACGTATTATTCATACGTTTCTTTTATTTAACGGGTTTAACAATTGTAATTTAATTTTGACGTATAAATAAATTGAATACGTATAGTACGAAAGGATGCGTTATTCACTTGCGAATAACATTAAATAAAATTGCTACTATATTTTTATTCATTGATTTACCTATAACGTTTTCACTGGAATTTTGAAGTGTGAAATTGCAAAAATTGGAATTGGAAATCGTTGCCAAAGACATTTCATGCAATACCAGTCAAAAATGTGTAGCCAAAAACTTTGCCTAACTACGACCCATACAGCTGACAACCGTCTCGCACAGGATAGTAAACCAAGTGTAATTAATGAATTCAGACAAATAGTAAAATAATATCCCATGCGGTGCCTATGGGCGATTCAGCTTTCAGAACGATTTCCAAGTACATATCTTCAAAAGCCTACATACAGGGTGTTACGACAATGTAAAGGCATTGAGTTATTTAAAATGGGCCATAGGGAAATTTACATTGCATCAATTGTTTCGGTAATAGCTTCCTCGCGAATCATCTGCCACAGTACTGTAGAAATTGTTTCTAAATCAACAAATTTATTCAAATGAAATATAAACGTATAAGATTACAATCGGTGCTCGAATTGTTTTCCATCGGCAACCGAACAATACCCGATACTCGGTACTGAATAGCTCGCATACCACACAGCTACTGTGCCCACTCTTGTACAAATTGTAATGAACACCTTTTCGAGCAGTGGAGTACATGTTGCCGCTCCGTTGATGCAGTTTGAAGGGTTGAGATCGAGAACTGCCAGTGAAATAACTAAGCGCAAGGTCAAGATTTGAGGACAATTTGTGCAATGTAAATTTCCCTATGACCCATTTTAAATAACTCAACCCCTTTACATTGCGTAATGCTAGGTGTGTACTTTCTATGGCCCATCTTTAAAAAAACACCCTGTGTATAAAACTTCTGAAGAAACGAAAGCTCTAAATTCTAAAAGATCCCAAGCATATTTGCTTGTCCTGTATGGGTGCTTCGCCCGTCAAAGGTGTATGAGTCAGTACAACACAATTAATCAACTTTTTCGCAAGTTGGCCAAGGAAGAAGAGTAAGAAATAGTTTAACAAAAAAAAAACAGAATACCTACGGTTTCTATAATTGATGCGAATTGGTCGTTGGGTTGTCTTTTTATAAGGTTCTAAAGTTAGCTGT